TTCCTTCTAGATTATTGTAATACCCTAGTAATTGCTTCCCTACTTGCTCCCCTTCAGTCTACTTTCAAAACAGTCAGAGGGATCTAATTAAAATGTAAATTAGATTATGTCACACACAATCATACAAAGAAAAAATCAAAGTTCTTAAAATCGCCTACAAGTGATATCAAGCAATTTGATTAGCCAGCATAATCAGAAACATGGCAGACTAATGTCTCAACAAAACCATCTTCAAAAATTACAGAATCTTGGGTCCCGGCTGGTGGTGTAATGGTTAAGTTCGCATGCTCTACTTCCAAGGCCTGGGGTTCGAGGGTTCAGATCCCGGGTGCGGACCTACACACCCCTCATGAAGCCACGCTGTGGCAGCATCCCATATACAAAATAGAGAAAGATCAGCACAAATGTCAGCTCAGGGCCGATCTTCCTCACACACACCCACACACAAATTACAGAATCTTAAATTAGTTACATACGGACAATGGGCAGTAATGAGAGGTTTCCTTTAGGCATGATGGACTCCAGGGTCTTTTATTGTTCCATTCTTCTGTCAACTGTGATGGATACCTTGTAGCTGTGTTTCCCGCCTGTGGTCAGCCTGTTCCTGGAGAGAAACTCATAGAACAAAGGTTTTAATTTCTCAAGCTATTGGGGAGTACCTATGTAAGCAGAGGCCATACATCAGGAGAGCACGTGAATTTTTTTGGAGTATGTGTGCAGCAGCAAGTAGGCACACAGAGGAGGGGCTGGGGCCATTTAGTGTAACAAGATGGCCTCACTTATGCTCACTTACACAAGGTCCTGCACTACTTGGTCCCCATCTCCTCTCTGACCTTCTCTCTTAATACTGTCCTCTTTACTCACATGACTCTATCCAGAGTGGACTTCCTGTTCATGGAAAATGCCCCTCGTCTTCCCATTCAGGCCTTCGCACATTCCTTTCCCTCTACACGAAGTGCTCTGCCCCCAGATATCTTCATGGCTCCTTCCCCCTTCCTTGGGTCTTTATTCAAATGTCCCCCTCATTGAGGTCTTCCATGGCCATGACACTATTGAAAACTGCAATGCCTACATGGAAATACACCCCATACTCCTTCCTGCTTTATCCTCCTCATTAGCGTTTATCGTTCACTCTGGCTGAGATATCAGAAACTCCATTTCAGGATTTTCATGGCATCCAGTGGTATAAACATATTATTTAGCAATATTGAGGTAGCCACAAGCAGACAAACATAAAAATGGTTCCTTCTGTGAAAAAAGACTGTGGTTCAAAAAAGTTGGGAAAAGGATCTATATGTTTTTTAAAATATACTTTAAAAACAAAGAAAATAGGGATATCACTGACGTAGTCCTAAGGAAATGTGGCTGATTTAACGTGAAGTGGTGGAGGCAGCAATCATGCAGAAGCAGCATTGGACTTGGAATTAGAAGATGTGAATTCCAGTCTTCTAACAATACCTACCAGCTGTGTGTCCTTGGTCAACAAATCTCTTTGAGCTATGGTTCCCTCGTTAATTGACTTAGGATACCAATGACTTCACAAGGTGGTAGGGAATATTAAAGGAAACAAGTGCGTGTTAATTCACTATGTAGTATTACAAGTACTATATAAATGTGACCTAATTTTGAAAAACTATGACTATCTTCCCTTATTGCCCATAAACAATGTTCATGCACGACCTTGAGGGTATTATGTTAAGTGAAATAAGCTAGAGAAAGACAAACGCCATATGATTTCACTCATATGCAGAAGATAAACAAATACATGGACAAAGAGAACAGATTAGTGGCTACCAGACGGGAAGGGGGTTGGGGTGGGCATAAGGGGTAAAGGGGCACATATATGGTGACTGACAAATAATAATGTACAACTGACACTTCACAATGTTATAGAGTATTATGACATCAATAAAATTTAAAAAAACTGTTCATGCAATCCACACAGTAGGTTCTCCATTGGCAGCTGGTGTTTTCACCCACATCAGCTCTGAAGGCGGGTTCAGACCTCTTCACTCCCTCCAAAAGAATTCCCCTTGGGTGTGAATATTGACCTCACAGTCAGCGAGGAGGAGATGCCAGGGGAAGCCCCACATCCCACAGCAAACAAAGGCACCATCCTCCTGTCCAGAGGCCCCTCCCTGGTCTCCTTACTGAGACCAGCCTGGGCTTCCACTCCTTGTTCTTCTCTGAAACTCCCCCTCCAGTCTCTCGGTCTCTTCCTTTCCCTTCTTTATGTGGAACAGTTTAATTCTTCCGAGCATTTATTTCCCAAAAGCCCCCCCTAGGACCAGGATCTGCCCTGTTTGGAGGCAGCAGACCACTAAACAACAAATCACTCTCGTCTTGCACACGTAAATTCTGGGCCCTATTCCGAGCTTGCACTCAGCTCCAGCGACGCATCCTCGTGCCAAGACCACGACGGCCCTCCACGGAGCAGGCACAGAAACGAGCCAGCGCGCCCCCTCGCCGCCCAGTCCCCTCTACGCAGGCGCACACGGCCCCAAGTCCCGCCCAATCGGAGCATTTCCCGCCCAGCCCGCGGACCGGAAGCCGCGGGGCGGAGACGGCGCCGGCCGGAAGCCGGGGGACGGGGTTTCCCCGGATGGACGGGCGCCTTTCGCCCCGCCCAGGCCCGCCGCGACCTCAGTGGTGGCGGGTTTGGCCGCGAGTACAGGTCATGGCGCTCGCCGCGCGGCTCTGTCGCTCGTTCGCTTGGGGACGTCAGCTTCTGACGGGGGCTGCCGGCGGCCGCGGGCGGTGCGGCCCGGGGCGGCTCGGCGGCGCTGAGGTACCCGCCGGCCTGCCCCTCAGGGGACGCGGGGCTGAGGGAGGAATCGGGGGTGTGCCCGGAGGCCCCGGTGGCCGACGGCCGGCCCCTCTCTGTCCTGGCCTCCTTTCCTCTCTGAAACCGGGCGGAGGAGGCGTGAGCCCTGCTCCATCCCCGAGAACCCGTTTCCCCGTGTGCACGCAGAGAGCGTTTAGGGGAGAACTCTCACCCCGTTAGAGTCTCACTCTCGGCGACGCCGGGTCAGGGAACCCCCGGAGGCCGCCGGACCTGGAGTTTGCGGTGGGATTTTGAAAATTCCTACGCCCCCGAAGCACAGATTTTGTACTGTTTGCCTTAAAACACGTGTCGGGAGGGGTGTCGGGCCGCGGATCGGTCCCGTCTTGGCGTTCCTGGCCGACCGGCCGTGGCCGCGCTTTCCGTCCGAGGCGGGGCTGGAGGGCGAGGCCGGGCGAGGGTGCGTGTCATGTACGTCACCCGAAGCCGGCGTTTGGGCGTTCAATCTCTGAAGTACACGTGTCTGAGGGCCTGCGGGGTTCAGGGACACTGCAGTAGGTTTGCAGAACGTGCCCAGGCGGCGCTGCTGGGAAGGTTCCATCTGGGGCGGGGGCGCCGTGTGCAGAGCCCTGTACCCGCCGTGCTCCACGCTGAAAACGAGGAGCGGGAGGCGAGGACGGGGAGTCAGGGTCGGGGGCGAGGAGGCGTGTACGCGACGACGCGCCGCCCAAGGCCCAAGGGCCCCACGAGCACCCTGTCCTCCCTCTGGGTGTGTGGAGTTTTGGGGGAGTTGGAAGTATTATTACCAGATTTCCGGTTCTTCGTGCGTTTTCTGGCCCTTGTCGTTTCTGTTTTCCTTTTCCCAGCGCTCTCTCGCGCATGGCGTCAGTAGGTTGCGGTGGAGGTGTTTATTCCCCAGGTGTTGGCAGGGATTGGGGCCGCTCCTGAGGGGCCGAGGAGAGACGTCACTCTTCTGTCGTTTTTGATTTGCGATGCACGTTACAAAACAGCCATCTCCGAACGCTGGTTTTTCGGCGAGTTTGCGCTGAGGGCCCACGGGGAGCAGGGCTCTGGGCTCTGGGGGTCTGGTGGACGCCCCCGGTGAGCGGAAGCGTTTTCCCGCTGATCCTGCAGGCCGGAGGGGGGGTAGTTGGTCATTGAGTAAGTGTGGTGACGGCGGAGCGTTGGAAACGGAGCGGAGTCCCAGCTCTCCTGGTCTGGACGGGAGCGGAGCGGTGTGAGCGGTTCGGGGTGAGGTAGAAGGACGGGTTCGGTGCTCACCAGCACAGGCAGGCGAAGACAGGTGTTCCGGTGGAGGGACAGCGTGATGCGGCCTGGGGGTGAGCAAACGCGGTGCTGTTGACTGAGGCCCGGAGTGCAGAGCAAGCTGAAAGGGACCGAGGCGGAAGCGTGAGGCGGCACGGCTCGTCTGTGACTGCGGGACGGCCGCCGCAGCAGTGATGGCTTAGAGCCGCCAGCGCCCGTCGCCTGTGGCTTCCGTCGGTCAGGGGTCCAGGCGAGGCTTAGCTGGGGGCCTCTGGCGAGGTCTCTCCTGCGGCTGCTGAGGTCTCGAGTGCAGGCCTGGGGCAGGGGGAGGTTGTGCTTCCAAGCTCCCTCCCGTGGCTGTAGACCGCCCTGGGTCCTTGCCGGAGGGCTGCTCGCAGGGCTGCCTCAGACCCCGCAGCTGGCCTCCCCCGGGCCAGGCGGGCAGTTGGAGATGGGGTTCACAGTCTTCTCTACCCAATCCTGGAGGTGACGTCCCTTCACTTCTGCTATGCAGGTTCTTAGGAGACGGTCAAGTCCAGCCTGCATTTAAGGGGAGGGGCTTACATAAGAGAGAATATCGGCCTGCAGGGATCATTGGGGGACATCTTATTTATCTATTTATTTATAAGTCGAGATATAAGTGATATATAACATTAGTTTCAGGTGTACAACATAATGACTCGATATTTGTACATATTGCAAAATGATCACCATAACAACATCTAGTTAATGTCCATCTCTACACAGTTACAAGTTTTTTTCCTTGTGATGAGAACTTTTAAGATTTACTCTCTTAGAGACTTTTAAATATACAACACAGTATTATTATCTATAGTTACCACGCTGTATATTACATGCCCAGGACCTATTTATTTTATAACTGGAAGTTTGTACCTTTTGACTGTCTTCACCCTTTTCATACCCTTTTTATCCCCCTTTGCCGCGTTTGGCAATGACCAATCTGTTCTCTGCATCTGTGAGTTTGGATTTTTTTTTTTTAGATTCCACATATAAGCGAGATCATACTCTATTTGTCTTTCTCTGACTTACTTAGCATAATGCCCTCGAGGTCCATCCGTGTTGTTGCAAATGGCAAGATATCCTTTTTTATGGCAGAATAATATTCCTGTGTGTATACGTGTGTGTGTATGTGTGTATATATATATATTTAAATATATAAATATAAATACATGTATCATTTTTTTAATCCCTTCGTCTATAGACAGAGATTGTATCCATTTCTTGGCTATTGTGAATAATGCTGCAATGGACATGGGGGTGCATATGTCTTTTCAACTTAATGTTTTCATTTCCTTAGGATGAATACCCAGAAGTGGAATTTGCTGGATCATATGGTAGTTCTAGTTTTAGTTGTTTGAGAAACCTCCATGCTGTTTTCCATTGTGGCTGCACCAGTTTACATTCCCACCAACAGTGCCCGGGGGTCCCCTTTTCTCACGTCCTTGCCAACATTTATTATTTCTTGTCTTTTTGGTAATAGCTGTTATGACAGTTGTGAAGTAAGATCTCATTGTGCTTCTGATTTGCATTTCCCTGATGATTAGTGATGTTGAGCACCTTTTCATGTACCCATTGGCCGTCTGTATGTTTTCTTTGGAAAAATGTCTATTCATATTCTCTGCCCAGCAGTGGAATAGCTGGATCGTATGGTAGTTCTATCCTTGATTTTTTGAGGAATCTCCATACTGTTTTCCATAGTGGCTGCACCAGTTTGCACTCCCACCAGCAGTGTATGAGAGTTCCCTTCTCTCCACATCCTCTCCAACACATGTTGTTTCTTATCTTGTTAATTATAGCCATTCTGACGGGTGTGAGGTGATATCTCATTGTAGTTTTGATTTGCATTTCCCTGATATTTAGTGATTTTGAACATCTTTTCATGTGTCTGTTGGCCATCTGTATATCTTCTTTGGAGAAATGTCTGTTCAGGTCTTTTGCCCATTTTTTAATTGGGTTGGTAGTTTTTTTGTTGTTGAGATGCATGAGTTCTTTATATATTTTGGAGATTAACCCCTTATCAGATGTATGGTTTGCAAATATCTTCTCCCAATTGTTAGGCTGTCTTTCGTTCTGTTGATGGTTTCCTTTGCTGTGCACAAGCTTTTTAGTCTGATGTAGTCCCATTTGTTTATTTTTTCTGTTGTTTCCCTTGCCCAGTCAGACATGGTGCTTGAAAATATGCTGCTATGACGAATGTCCAAGAGCGTACTGCCTATGTTTTCTTCTAGAAGTTTCATAGTTTCAGGTCTTACGTTCAAGTCTTTAGTCCATTTTGAGTTAATTTTTGGGTATAGTGTAAGGTAAGGGTCTAGTTTCATTCTTTTGCATATGGTTGTCCAGTTTTCCCAACACCATTTATTGAAGAGACTTTCCTTTCTCCATTGTATGTTCTTGGCTCCTTTGTCAAAGATTAGCTGTCCATAGATGTGTGGGTTTATTTCTGGGCTCTCAATTCTGTTCCATTGATCTCTGTGTCTGTTTTTGTGCCAGTACCATGCTGTTTTTGTCACTATAGCTTTGTATATGTAGCTGTAGATTTGGTGTGTCCATGGGAGGAGGTGTGTTCAGGATCTTCCTACATTGCTATCTTGAACCGGAGCCCCTCGGGGGCTGTTTTATTTTTTTATTTTTATTTTTCTTGCTGAGGAAGATTCATTGTGAGCTAACATCTGTTGCCAGTCTTTCTCATTTTTGCTTGAGGAAGATTTGTCCTGAGCTAACATCTGTGCCAGTCTCCCTCTATTTTGTACATGGGTCGCTGCCACAGCATGGCTGCTGACAGGTGGTGTAGGTCTGTGATCCACTGAAGTGGATCGTGCACACTTAACCGCTGCACCAGCAGGCTGGCCCCTATAGATTCATTTTGAATCCAGTTTTGTACAATATTTTGAATATTCATGCTCAAGAAATTAAATTAAGCACTCAGCAAATTGGAATGTGTTGGATTCTTTATTCTGACCCTAGATGTTATGAGAAGTTAAAATGTGGATCAGATGTGGGTTGTGAGAGAAAGAGTGGAAGAATGACTCTGAGGTTTTTTGTTTTTTTTAACCTGAACAACTAGAAGAATAGAGTTGCCATTTACCATGAAAGGGAAAACTGAGAGGAATGGCTTTGAGGAAAACAATAGCTGTTCTGGCTGATAAACGGGAGATGCCTGTTATACTTCATGTGGAGACAGATGTTGATTAGGCAGCTGGATATATGATTCTGAAGTTTAGAGGAGACATCTGGGCTTCAGATTACATTTGCATGTTTTTGGCATGTTGATGGTATTTAAAGGCATGAAGCGAAATGAAATCACCAAAATGATACAAATGGAGAAAAGAAGAATATATATATATATATATTTTTTTTTTTTGGTAAGGAAGATTGGCCCTGAGCTAACATCTGTGCCCATCTTCCTCTATTTTGTATGTGGGATGCCGCCACAGCATGGCTTAGTGATCAGTACGTAGGTCTGTGCCCGGGATCCGAACCTGCAAACCCCGGGCTGCTGAAGTGGAGTGCGTGAACTTAACCACTTTGCCACCGTGCCGGCCCCCTGTTGTCTGTTCTTAGGATTGATATTTATTATATGTTGGTGTCTCATATTTTATTTCATACAATTATAACAGTATCCATATCTCCTCAAATAAGATGTAAATCTTCCTGTCTGGCACTTATCAGCATGACTGTGATTGTTAGATAAACTACCACCTTTAGCTATTCTTAAGAATCTAGTCTTAACAGGATATGCTCTCCCTATAAGGTAATTATGTGAAATAGTTTTACTGAACAATTTGATGAAGTAAATTTTGAGCTTCCAAAATTCTTAGGATTGATTGCTTTGGGAGTGGGAGAAAATCCATGTAATTTTTGCTGGGGGTAGCAGTTCCTTCAAATTTTCTGTTTGATAACTCTGACCATAATTGTTTTCATAGGTGATAGGATACCGAAGAGCTTTCAAAAGAAGCCTTTTATTCTCAGCCTTGTCTTATTTGGGTTTTGAAACTTATCAACTCATTTCCCAGGCTGCTTTGGTTCATGCCACAGCCAAAGGTAAGCCTAAGCTAAATATCTGGAACACTTAGAGTTATTTAGGTTTGTTATATTTTGTTAATAATTTAGTTATTTTTGAATAGATAATGAAACTAACATTGTTATAGGCTAGATTTTTTTTCTGCTTTTCTCTACTTGTCAGTCTGATATATGTATATATACTTTCTTCTAGCAACTAGAGCTCCTGCAGAGAGAAATACTCTATTAATACTTTATAGTTTTATAGAGTCCTTGGGTTAAGAATGTGTTTTTACATTTTTAAAGGGTTGAGGGGTTGTGGCGGGATAAAAAGAGAATATACCACAGAGACCATATTTGGCCTCCAAAGCCTAAAATATTTACTCTCTGGATCTTTATAGAAAAAGTTTGCCGACCCTTGCTTTATAATGGTTTAATGATTCCATTGTTTCCTTAATGCCAGGGTGTTAACGCTCTTCTTGATATAATTAAAAGGCCCAGTTACTTTGAGATAGAAGTATTTTATTTACAAGCAAAAGTAAGTTTGATATTAAAGATCAAATAACTGGTTAAAAAGTAGAAAAATTTCATCAGATTTCTTATTTGGCATACCATAGATAGTAAACATATATTAAGACTTGCCATATTTTAAAAATTAAATTTAGTTAAACCAATTGTGTATGTAGATGGAGCCGAGATTTCAGTATATTAGAGAAAAATTTTTATTAATTTGTGGGTTAAGCCATTTTGTTTTTCACGGTCCCCGCTTTTTAGTCATCAAGAAGGTGATTGGGGAAAGAAGCAGAGATTTGATTTTGAATAGATATTCTTATTAAAGCTCTGGTAGGTGAAGAATTTGAGGATATTAACTAAAAATTACTGGTTATTTTACTAGTTATTTATTGATTTCATTTATCTGTGACTATTCTTATCTTTAAAAAAAGCAGATAATTGAGAATTGCTATATTTTTGTTTTATGTTTTCTTTCTTTCTTTCTTTTTCTTTTGGTGAGAAAGATTGGCGCTGGGCTAACATCTGTTGCCAGTCTTCCTCTTTTCGCTTGAGGAAGATTGTCGCAGAGCTAACATCTGTGCCAGTCTTCCTCTATTTTGTATGTGGGACGCTGTCACATCATGGCTTAATGAGAAGTGTGTAGGTCTGCTCCTGGGATCCAAACCCATGACTCTTGGGCTGCCAAAGTGGAGCACATGAACTCAACCACTATGCCCCCTGGCTGGCCCCTGTTTTCTTTCTTTTTTAATGTATCATTTTCATGAAGGACAAAGTAGAGGACTTGGTTTTGTCACAGGCTCAATGATGTATTTTAGCGAATACTTAACAATAACTCAGCTTTTTAAAGCTCACTAGACTTTTCACCATAACTTCACTTCTCACAGCAACTTTGTAAAGTAATTAGGACAAGTTGTATTATCACATTATAATATTCATTTTTTTAAAAACTTATCCTTGAGAGATATGCTGTGTGGTTGCACTTTCAAGATTTTTCTGTGTGTGTGTGTGTGTCATTATAATATTCATTTTTGAAAAGAAGCTTGGAGTTAAACTTCTTCGAAGTCAAAGTGTCAGAGCAGAGATTACAACTCTTATGTGTTTCTTTTCACGTCTGTCACACTTAGTTTCAGTGTGCTTTAGCACCATTTCATTACAAAAGTGAGTGCAAAGATTTAGTGCTGCCTTAAGCAATAAAATATGGCACATTGAAAAGCAAAGCCAAAATTATATTTAGCCTTAATGATCATAGTCGATTTTTTCAGAGGTGTCTTAATGACAAAAAATTATTGCATATTCAGGAAATTAAAAATAACATTTTAAGGTGCTAGACCCCTGTGAGGCCCACATGAGCTGGGTGTGGCCTTGCACAGTTGCAATAGCGGGGGTTGACGGTTTCCTTACTTTGTGCCTCGAAGAACTTTGACGTGGCTTTCCTCCATTCTTTTCCTCCACCTCTTGAGTGCGTGGCCGTGAACTGGGCTGCGGGAGGGCTATGGACCAGCCAGAGAGTAGGCACTGTAGGAGCGAATTTCCTTTGCCTGGAGATGGCTCTGTGTCCCTGTTAGGCGGCATGCATCCTGCTCAGGGACGGCTGGCCCTTCACCCCCATTTCCAAGATGGCAGCTATCAAGTGTGAACTTGCTGAGAATGTCACTTCAGAGGAGACCACTCATCACAGTAAGATCTCCGTTATAGGAACTGGATCAGTTGGTGTGGCCTGTGCTATCAGCATCGTATTAAAAGTCTGGGGTTATGAACTTGCCTTTGTGGATGTTGATGAAGGCAAACTGGAGGGTGAGGCAGGGGGTCTTCAGCATGGCAGCCCTTTCATGAAAATGCCAAATACTGTTTCCAGCAAAGATGCCCTTGTCATTGCAGACTCCAACCTAGTGATTATCACAGCAGGTACACGCCCAAGAATAGGAGAAACATGCCTTGATGTAGTCAAGCGAAATGTGTCCATCTTTAAATTAATGATTTTGAATATTACTCAGTATAGTCCCCACTGCAAACTCATAGTTGTTTGCAAGCCAGTGGCTATCTTATGTAGCTTGAAAGTTGAGTGCATTTCCCAAAAATTATTATTGGAAATGGCTGTAATCTGGACACTGCCTGTTTACATTTCTTTATTGGACTGTCATGAATGGATCCTTGGAGAGCACAGAGACTCAAGTGTACCTGTGTGGAGTGGAGTTAACATTGCTGGTGTCCCTCTAAAGGATCTGAACTCCGATATAGGAATGGATAAAAATCCTTAGCAGTGGGAAAATGCCCACAAAGAAGTGATTACCTGTGGCTATGAGATGGTTAAAATGAAAGGTTATACTAATTGGGCCGTTGGCCTATCTGTAGCTGGTTTAATGGAAAGCATTTCGAAGAATCTTAGGAGAGTGTGTCTGGTTTCCACCATAAGTAAGTGCCTCTATGGAATAAATGAAGAAGTATTCCTTACAGTTCCTTGTATCCTGAGAGAGAATGGTATTGCAGACCTTATAAAGATAAAGCTGACTCCTGAAGAGGAGGTCCGTTTGAAAAAGAGTGCAAAAAAACCTTGGGAAATTCAGAAGGAGCTCAAGCTATAAAGTTGTTTAAAGCTACCATTATGAACTTACTGAAGAAGAGAGAATAGTTATAGGATTGTATATCCAACTTGTGAATAAACTTGAATTCATAAAAGTTAAAAAAAGGAAATGGGATAGAGTGACTCCCCTGTTTATTTAGCCATCTGGTTTTTTTATTTAGCATCAGATACTGGATGATACTTATTTTTTACAGTTCCTAAGTGAGTGCATCAAAGATGTTTTTGGTATCTCTGATGTACTGGTACTTGCCTTGTATATATATTTGTAGTTGCCATTTGGTGCAAAACAGTGTTTGGTGTATGCGTTTATTGTGTTAGAGAAATTCTGATTCTTTTCATCCAGTACATGCTAATTCTTTTGTTCTAGGTGGCTTATACCTATGTTCATTTATATGCTATTAAAAAAAATTATAACTTCCTCGACAATGTAAAAATAAAAGTATGTACATACAAAAATAACTAAATGTTTGTTCCAATCCTAACACTAAATAAAACTTTGATTTGACCTTGAAAAAAAAATTTTAGTATTCCAAGGTGTAACTTGTTCTGAAAACTAAAGTCATTGTTTTTATTATAGATTTTAATGAAAACTGCCTTATATTTTGGAATCCTTTCTGTATTTTCAAGCATGTTTTGAGTATTTAAAAAGTTAATGCAGGGGCTGGCCCGGTGGTGTAGTGGTTAAGTTCACGAGCGCTTCTTCGGCAGCCCAGGGTTTGCAGGTTCAGATCCTGGGCGCAGACTGACACGCCGCTTGTCAAGCCATGTTGTGGTGGCGTCCCATATAAAGGAGAGGAAGATGGGCACGGATGTTAGCCCAGGGCCAGTCTTCCTCAGCAAAAAGAGGAGGATTGGCAACAGATGTTAGCTCAGGGCTGATCTTCCTCACAAAGCAAAAAAAAAGTTAATGCAAAGAGCAGAGTATGGATATTAGTTTTGTCTACCTTGATTTTCTTTAGCTTTGTGGTTTTTTTTTTTGGTGAGGAAGATCAGCCCTGGGCTAACATCTGTTGCCAATCCTCCTCTTTTTGCCGAGGAAGACTGGCCCTGGGCTAACATCCGTGCCCATCTTCCTCTCCTTTATATGGGACGCCACCACAGCATGGCTTGACAAGCGGTGTGTTGGTGTGTACCCGGGATCCGCACCTATGAACCCTGGCCGCCAAAGCGGAGCGCACACACTTAACCGCTTGTGCCACCAGGCTGGCCCTTGGCTTTGTTTTCTTAAAACAAATAAAACCTCATTTTGTAATTAGTTGATTGGTATGTTGATATAATTTGTAAGCCTAGGCCATAGCCCTTGAAAAAACATGAATTATTGATAAAATATAGAAACCAGATTTTTTTTTTAACTTGGATAATGATCTATGTTTCTATAAAAATATAACTTTATTGGCCCTTGCGAGTTTTACTTTGTCATATATCTCTCTTCCAGTTGCTATGCTGTGGTTCTTATTTTTCATATTTTTTGGGAATTGGTCTTCAAATAATTCCACTCATCAAAACTTCTGCCTAATTCTCTTTAGATTGGCTTCATGCTCATTAAAGCCACTTAAAATTTTTTTCCTCCTCCATTTACCAGGATTAAATCACATTCTGAAGTGAGACTTTTTTAGAAATTGATTTAAGGGCATATATACTTTTGACATTCCAGTTGGCTGGGACTGGGGGACTCATTTTTTAAATGGTAATGCCTATATTTACCACAAGATAGCACACAGACCCAATTGTCAGCAGTAATTGAAGCACTCCAGTAGAAAGTTTTTCATTATTTCCTTAAAATAGACAAAATTTAAATGCCCTCAAGATATGCTGGTGTGTTCACAGCACTCTTGTGTGTACAAGTTCACTTGTAAAACGCTTAAAAGATAACGACAAGGGGCTCACCTTAAATAAAGGTTCTTCATACAGTCACCTCACTTGTCTCTTATCATATACTTTTATTGGTTCCTCTGTACTGACGAAGCTGCAGAGCTGAGGTCACTGCTCCTTCACGTGTGTTCCTTTGTACCGCTTCAGGGCGTTTTTAGAGGCGCTGCTTCCAGTACTGCCGAGACACCATATTGTTGGTGTGGAAGAGTTGTCTTAAATTTGGATGATGTTGCTTCTACTTAGAGTCTTCTAGTATCTAGAAAAATCTTAAGAGTGTCTAGAAAACCTAGATACTCATTTTCTACTTTGTAAGTTCTATATGGAGAAACTTCAGAAATAGAGCTATTTTGCTTGCTTAGAGTAGTAGAGTATTTCATTTTTGTCCAGATACCTCTCATACGGCTAAGAATACACTTAGCAAGAAAAACTAGAAAACCAAAGTTTATATGTATGCAGTATGGCACATCATTGCCTTTTAAAAAAAAAAGTTCTAAGAATTGTTATGATTGTGAGCATATTCATTTTAGGCTAAATTTAAGATTTCTTTAGGTGCATTAATATCTCAGTTTTCTTCCTCTACATTCTTACCTTGGGATATTTATTCATTACTTAAGTTGAAAAGTAATTTACTTTGAAAGTTTAGTCCATTTTATAGAATATTGTCTCTTTATGTCAGGAACATAGCTTATTTTTAAATATTTTCAGGAAAAATGCAGAGCATTAAACAAGTAAAAAAACACAACTGATATGCAGATATGTGAGTGGTCTACATGCTCCTACCCTAGTTCCTATGTGAGTCTAGTATCAGAGTAAGTGCATTTTTTCCTTATAAATTGCACACTGTATGATTTTAGAAATTTCTGTTTAGAATCAAGAAAAAAATATATATATTTAAAGCCTGAATACTATAGCTTATGATATTATACTGTATACTGAAGGAATTAGAGATAAGTGACTTAAGAAGTTATAAAAGAATAATACACAAAAAAGATTTAAATTATTTACTAAATTTGTACATTTTTCTTTTAATTACATGGGTGATGAGATGTAGACTTGCTAGATTAGACAGTAATCTCTTTAGCAGTCTTCTCAAGGAGTGGGAGAAAAATCAATGAATAGAATTAAATGTCACTTTCCTACTTACACAGACCATGTATGCAATCAAATATGCCAAATCAATATATTTAATATTGTGAAAGTTTTCTGTCACTGCTGTAACAAATTACCACAAACTTAGTGACTTAAAACAACACAAATTTATTATCTTACAGTTCTGTAGTTCAGAAGTCTAAAATGGGTCCCACTGGGTTAAAATCAAGGAGTTGGCAGGGCTGTGTTCCTTTCTGGAGGCTCTAGGGGAGAATCAGTTTCCTTGTGTTTTTCAGCTTCTAGAGGCTTTCCACATTCCTTGGCTGAAGGCCTCTTTTCTCCACGTTCAAAGCCGACAGTCACTTCACTCTGACTGCATTTCCATGGTTACACCGTCTGGGACTTTCCTCTGCCTCCCTCTTCCACTTTTAAGGACTTTTGTGATTATATTGGGCCCACCTGGCTAATCCAAGCTAGCCTCCTATTTTCAAGTTACTGATTAGTAACTTAATTCTATCCACAAACTTACTTCCCCTTTGCCATGTAGCCTATACATTTTCACAGGTCCTGGGGATTAAGATGTGGACGTGTTTGGGGCCGTTATTCTGCCTACCACTATCAGCTAAGAATGCTGAGACTACTACTCATTCTTTTTAAGAATCTTTGGGTTGTTATTACCCAAATTTGGAGAATCAGCCACTGATAAAAATATAGAATAGAATGGAGGCAAACTTAAGAGAATTAACCAGCCATGTGAATATTATTAAACTATAGCACCTAACCAGAATGAATAAAGAGGAAAAAAAATCTTTAATTTTATGGTTTCTTTGCTATTGTCATTTAATTTTTCTTGAACTGTTATAATTACATTATGATGTTAACTTAATAAAAAATACTTCACTTTATAACATTGTATCATAAATTCATGAGGTTTTTTTTTGCTGGTCTAGATCTTAATTTTTCAAAAACTTAAAAAATTTTAACCTCAAATATGCTATGATTAATTAAAACATACTAAGGTAAATAATGAGGAAATTTAACTGAACACATTGGAATGTTGGCTTATACATAGGACTAAGAAATAACAGCACCCTTATAGAAGACAAAATTAAATGTGTGTATTCCTTAGTAATGATTGGAATATCCTGAAATTCAGACTTAGTGGTTTTTTCAGTAACTAGTCAACTTTTTTAGGGCATTACACTGTCTATAAGGTTTATGTGTTTTGTAGTAATGTCTAAACTACATTGTTTAGAGTTGTTTGGAGCATAGTGCAATGAGGTAAGTTTCAGATTCTGTCTGCAGTTAACTTCATCTAGGTTTTTGATGACAGATTTGACTCTTTTTCTATAACAGTGTCCGTGTAAATTAGGTCATGAAGAGAGTCTAGTAAAACAATATGGTTCAGTCCCTGCAAATTAATAATTTTCAGTGCTGTAAGTGGATGTTATATCATCATTTTCTACAGTGGATGATACTTAGCAGCAGCAACAACAAAGACTTGTGTGGAGGGTAAGGGTACCACAAATTCCTCATAAGAAATTACTTTTTTCATTTTTTAAAATATGTCATATGTAGTCAGTACCAGAGTAAGTTTTCTAATTTTTTATTTTCATGATTTCAATAAATCACTTACTATGATAACTTCATACTTATTTCTACTACACTTACATCTAGATTCTTCAGAATTTCTAATCTTTTCTTAGGGGTGATTTCTGTATCTAATTTCTTTTGCTTATATATAAAAGTGTTTATGTTTCATCTGGCTTGGGAAGACCTACTTCATTGTGTATTTTTTCTTTTATAGTCTTTAAAGTTGAAGAGATCCTTGAACAAGCAGACTACTTATATGAAAGTGGAGAAACAGAAAAACTTTATCAGTTGTTAACCCAATACAAGGAAAGGTGGGCAATGTATGATAGCCTGGATTTGCAATTTCCTCTGTTATTTAACAATTAAAATAATTCTTGGTGCTTGAAATTCTTATAGGTTTTTAAAATTATTACTTCAAAATAATATTTCTTAGAGTTTAATTTATATTAAACTATTTCTTATATTAAGCTAATTCTTTATTAAATGACTCAAAAGTGCTACATATATCTCATTGATTTAGAAAAGGTGGTTCTACTTACTCATTCTAGTAGAATGTTGAAACATTTTTTCCATTTTGTTATTTTGCTTTGGATCATACAAGGTAATCCTTGAATATATGTTTATCTCATCTATCTATATTATATATTTCTCATTCCTTTTCATTTACATTGTTTTCTTATTGGCATAAGATTTAAATGAATTAGGATGATTGTGTGCCACCATTGAATGATACCTGTGTATCACGTTAGAAGCACAGTCTTTTAGAGAAGTTAAAGTATCTCCTTTTTGTATTTTTAGTATTAGATTACGTGTTTAGTTCAGAGTATCAACGCATGCTCATTTTTTTGGGAGGATGGAGGTGGAGGGAGATTCAGCCCTATAAAATAAGTCAGAGAAGGCTAACTGACATTTCCAGATCACTAATCTACCTCAGCTCCTAAACTAAAAATATCGAGTCATTTTCAGCTACCTGTCTTACATTCCCAAAACCAGTTTTCTCTCCAAGACCCATCACTTTACTTCCTAAATATCTATAGGATGCATCTTTCCTTTTCTATTCTTCCTTCAAAAACTTGAGGTGGCTGGGGCTGGCCCGGTGGTGCAAGCCGTTAAGTGCACACGCTCCGCTGCAGCGGCCCGGGGTTCACCGGTTGGGATCCTGGGCGCACACTGACGCATCACTTGTCAGGCCATGCTGTGGCGGCGTCCCATATAAAGTGGAGGAAGATGGGCATAGATGTTAGCCCAGGGCCAGTCTTCCTCAGCAAAGAAAAGAGGAGGATTGGCAGATGTTAGCTCAGGGCTGATCTCCTCACAAAAAAAAAAAAAACTTGAGGTGGCTGGTTTTGCATTTTATAGTCATTTCAGTAATTACTTGAAAAGTAGGCCATAAGGTGGTTACTCCATATTCACTGAATTATACTATTGCTACCTTTAGTTTCAAAATTTTATGTGAATACCATTTTTTGTCAAGAAATACATAATATAGTAGGCTTAGAGGCAAACATTTAATAAAAAGGAATTTAAGATTAGTTTTTAAATATTTCTAACTCTTCATTGTGGTTAGTATTTTATTAACCATTTCTTATTTACATAATTATATTTAACTGTCAGTTCTTCAGGGAGTCCAGTGTCCTTACTTGTAATATTCCATGCCTGATGGCATGGATGACACATTTAAACATAGGATTTATTTTAAGATTACATTATATTCAATCATTCATTCATTAACAAATACTTATCGTATATCTGTTGTGTTCCAGGTACTGTGTTTGGGGCTAGGGATACAGCAGTTCTGTTTTTTAGAGCATGACCGTCTGTAAGGCTTATGTATTTTATGGTACTGTCTGAACCAGTAAGTGAGCTGTCAGAAGCACAGTGCCAGTGAAGTCAGGCCTCAACTTTTATGTTGAATTTTGTAGGCTAAGTGTTTAGAGAATTCCAAGATATTTTCTAAGGAAGTTCGTATTTTACATATTGTAGACAAGTTAATATTTATGTATAATATTGGATATTTTGTAGGAAATTTTGGCAAATAATGTTTTTATGTGAAAGAAAATAATAAATTTAACATTATGAATAATAATGGCTTTTAATATCATGTTGCTTGCTATGTCCTCACTGATGTGAAAGACCGTATGTATTCATTAGTCATGTGACCTTTAACAATTTTTTAATGCAAGCTAAAATGGTTGTTTTATATTTATTTCAAATTAGTGAAGATGCAGAGTTACTGTGGCGTTTGGCACGGGCATCACGGGATACAGCTCAGCTTAGCAGCACCTCAGAAGAGGAGAAAAAGCTCTTGGTGTATGAAGCTCTAGAGTATGCAAAAAGAGCGCTAGAAAAAAATGAATCAAGTTTTGCAGCTCATAAGGTGAGGTGCTTAAAGTAATGGAACTGTTACCATGTACTGAGAGGTACATTGGTCTGTACTTATCTATCCTCCCTAATTTACATAGGAAAGAAAATTGCTCTGTTTTAAAGAAGTAGGGAAGAGAATTATTTTGATAACATTTTTTCAAAAAGAAGTAGTTTTGGGAGCTGGCCCCATGGCCTAGTGGTTAAGTTCAGTGCCCTCGGCTTCAGCAGCCTGGGTTTGGTTCCCAGGCGTGGACGTGCACCACTCATCGGTGGCCACGCTGTGCGGCAGCTCACATACAAAGTAGAGGAAGATGGGCTCAGATGTTAGCTCAGGGCCAATTTTCCTCAACAACAAAAAAAAGGAAGTAGTTGTTTCCTTGCATTCTTGAACATTTACTCTAACTTCATTAGTGTGTGTGGTAAATTACTTTCGTGAATGCTTATTTTTAAACAAAAGTGATAGTTTCCAGAATTACCTGTATCTTTATTCCTAGTTGTACAAGCACTTGACAGATGTTTTCTCATTTTCCTCACGTGGTTCTGTCTTATGTGGAGGTAGGAAGATAGCAGCTGGACACCTGAGGCCTACTGTAACTTTTCACCTGGAGCTCCACTAGTTTCTGGATTTCCTAATGGGTTTAGAATAGTGTTTTCAGCGCACACTGTGGGGAGACTAGGGGACATCATTGGTATTTCAGATTAGGACATCACTGTATCATGTTAGACTGTCCTCAATAAAGCCCCACGTCACCATGACAACCAGATTCCACCTCCAAACATTTCTAAATGCTGCCTTTAGGGATTGGTACCCCAACCCCCAACTACTGCTGGTTTATAGTAAGGATAAAACAGATACAAATCCTTAAGTTTGTTAAAACTTGTTTTATGGCTCAGAATATGGTCTGTCTTTGTAAATGTTCATTGTGCACGTGAAAAGAATGTTTATTCAGCTGTTGCTGGGCGTATCTTTTATTTTATTTTTTTATTTTTTGTGAGGAATATTGGCCCTGAGCTAACATCTGCCAATCCTCTTTTTGCTGAGGAAGACTGGCTCTGGGCTAACATCGGTGCCCATCTTCCTCCACTTTATGTGGGACGCCGCCACAGCATGGCCTGCCAAGCGGTGCGTTGGTGCGTGCCCGGGATCCGAACCAGCAAACCCTAGTCTGCCACAGTGGCAGGCGGTGCGTTGGTGCGCGCCCGGGATCCGAACCAGCAAACCCTAGGCTCCACAGCGTAGCGTGCTCACTTAACTGCTTGCGCCACTGGGTTGGCCCCCTGGGTGTAGCTTTTAAATGTCATTCAGGTCAAGTTGGTTGATAGTGTTGTTTGAGTCTTCTGTATCCTTACTGATTTTCTGTCTACTTGTTCTATAAATTATTGAGACAGGGATGTTGAAATCTCCAAGTATAATTGTAGATTTGTCTGTTGTTCTTTGCAATTTTATTAGTTTCTACAGCATGTATTTTAAAGTATTGTTACTAGGAATATAAACATTAGGATTGTTATATTGTCGTGATGCATTGACTTCTTTATCATTGCAAAATGATCCTCTGTAGCTCTAGAAATATTCTTGGTTTTACAATCTACTTCGATTTTAATGTAGCCATTCTTGTTTTCTTTTGCTTAATGTTAGCATGTTATATCCTTTTCTGCTCTTTTACTTTTAACTTATTTGTGTCTTTATATTTAATGTGTACTTCTTATAAGCAGGTGATAAGTCTTGCTTATTTTTATTTTTACTTTATTTTATATACTTCACATTAACATAAAATTCACCACTGTAATGTGTACATTTCAGTGGTTTTTAGCTTATTCACTATGTTGTGCAACCTTCATGACTATCTAATTCGAGAACACTTCCATTTCCCCCAAAACAAACCCCATAGCTATTACCAGTCAGTTCCATTTCTCCCCTGGCAAGCATTAATCTGCTTTTTGTTTCTATGAATTTGCCTGTTCTGGACATTTCATATAAATGGATCATACAATATATGGCCTTTGCGTGTCTGGCTTATTTCACTTAGCATAATGTTTTCAAGGTTCATCCATGTTGAGTTTGTGACAGTACTTCATTCCTTTTTATGGCTGAATAATATTCCTTTGTATGGATATACCACTTTTGTTTATCCATTCATTGGCCGATGGACATTGGAGTTGCTTACACTTTGTGGCTATTAGGAATAATGCTGCTATAAACAATTGTATACAAATTTTTGTGTGAACACCTGCTTTCAATTCTCTCTTTTTCTTATTGAGGTAAATTCACATAACATAAAGTTAACCATTTTAAAATGTATAATCCAGTGGCATTTAATACATTTACAGTGTTGTGCAACTATTACCTCTATTGAGTTTCAAAACATTTTCATCAAAAGGAAACCCCGTACCCATTAAGCAGTCACTCTATTCCCTCTTATTCCCAGCCCCTGACAACCATTAATCTGCTTTCTGTCTCTATGGCTTTACCTACTCTGGATATTTCATCGAAATGGCAGTCTCTTCAATAAATGGTGTTGAGAAAACTGGACAGTCACATGCAAAAGAATGCAACTAGATGACTGTCTTACACAAAGTTAACTCAAAATAGATTAAAGACTTGAATGTAAGACCTGAAACCATAGAATTCCTCGAAGAGAATAATGGTGTTAAGCCCCTTGACATCATGATGTATTTGTGGATCTGACCCCACAGACAAGGGAAACAGAAGCAAAAATAAACAAATGAGACTACATCAAATGAAAAAACTTCTGCACAGCGAAGGAAACCATCATCAAAACAAAAAGGCAACCTACTGAGTGGGAGAGGATATTTGCAAACCATATAGCCAATAAGTGGTTAATGTCCAAAATATATAAAGAACTTGTACATCTCAACAATGACAGAAATAACCTGATTGAAAAATGGGCAGAGAATCTGAATAAACATTTTTCCAAAGAAGACATACAGATGGCCAACAGGTACATGAAAAGGTGCTCAACATTGCTAATCATCAGGGAAATGCAAATCAAAACCACAATGAGATATCACCTTACACCTGTCAGAATGGCTATTATCGAAAAGACAAGAAATAACAAATGTTGGAGAGGATGTGGAGAAAAGGGAACCTTTGTGCACTGCTGGTGGGAGTGTAAATTGGTGCAGCCACTATGGAAAACAGTATGGAGATTCCTCAAAAAATTAAGAACTACTATATGACCCAGCTATTCTACTTCTGTGTATTTATCTGAAGAATACAGAAACACTAATTCTAAACGATATATGCACCCCTATGGTCATTGCAGCATTATTTACAATAGCCAAGAAATGGAAACAGTGTAAGTGTCTATTGATGGATGAATGGATAAAGAAGATGTGGCATATATATAAACACACCATATATGACATACACACAGACACACACAATGGAATAGTACTCAGCTATAACAAAGAATGAAGTTTGCCATTTGCAACAACATGGATGGACCTTGAGGATATTGTGCTAAGTAAAATAAGTCAGATGGAGAAAGACCAATCCCGTATGATTTCACTCGTATGTGGAATCTAACAAAACCAAAGCAAACTAACAGAATAAAGCGAAACAAACACATAGATAAAGAGAACAGATTAGTGGTTACCAGAGGGGAAGGGAGTTGGGGGGCGGGCAAAATGGGTGAAGGGGGTGAGTTGTATGGTGATAGATGGTAACTAGACTTGTGGTGGTGAGCACTTTGTAGTGTATACAGAGGTCGAATTATAATGCTGTACATCTGAAACCTATTAAAAAAGAAAGGAAGCTTTTGGCCATTTTGTTTTCAGATATTCATTCTACGCCTTTGTTTCCCTCCTTTCCTCTCCTGAGACTCCCATTATGTGTATTTTGGGAGACATGTTGGTGCCTCACAGGTTGGTCTCTCAGGCTGTGTTGATTTTTTTTCTTTTTTCTTTTCTGTTCTTCAGATTGGGTAATCTCAATTGAGCTATTATCTTCAAGTTAGCTGATTCTTTCTTCTCCCTGTTCAAATCTGCTGTTGAATCCTCAATTCAGTGTGGTGAATTTTTAATTTCAGTATTGTACTTTCCAACTCCAAAATATCTATCTGGTTCCATTTTATCATTTCTGTCTCTTTATTGATATTCTCTGTTGGTGAGACATTGGTCTTAGACTATTTTTTAGTCCTTTATACATAATTTTTCTGTTGCACATACATAAGGAATGTAGGATGTCTAGGAAGCCCAACATCTGGGCTTCTTCAGGCATATTTTCTATTGATTGTGTTCCCCTGTGTATGGGTGCTACTATCTTATTTCTTTGCATGCCTTATACTTTTTTGTTGACAACTGGATATGTTGACAATTATCATACGGTAAATCTAGAAGTCAGGTTCTGTCCCCTTCCAGAATTCGTTGTTGCTGCTGCTTTTTATACTTATTGTTTCTGTAGTGACTTTTCTTAACTAATTCTGTAAAGTCTGTATTCTTTGTTTTGTGCGGCCACTGAAGTCTCTGTTCTGTTAGCTTAATGGCCAGCTAATGATGGGACAGAAATTTTCTAAAATGCCTGGAACCAAAGTGTTTTCCAGTCCTTGCCATGGCGCTGTGTGTGTGTTGGGACACACCTTGCACTCACCAGGCAGTTCAGAACTCTGCCCCAGCTCTCCCTGCCTGCCTGTGTAGAGCCTTCAGGTCAGCAGGAGGTGCACTTAGGGCCTTCTCAGATCCTTGCCGAGCGTGCACATCATCCTGTGCTTGTGTGTGGCTTGCTGTATTCTCAAGGATATGTCGGGAGTTTTTCACTTTTTCGTTTCTTTTTTTTTTTGCTTTGGTGTTACTGCATAATAAACAAAATGCTTTGCCATCTAATTCAATAACAAAATAATCCACACTCCACTGTGCCTTCAAAGCATGACATTTGAAGTCCATTTTATCTTCTTTTGACATATGCATTGGTTATAAAAAAATAAAGTGTCATGGTATGCCAATATGCATGGTAGTTGAAATGCTGTCAAGTTATAAATCTATCACTGTGATTCACAGTGCACTGAGCAGCAGTGGGAATCAAGTAGAAGATCACATATGATCTCTTTTCACAACTCACCTCTGCCATTGTTGAGCAAAAGCAGCCATAGACATTGCATAAATGGTGAGCCATCGTTTTCCAATAAAGCTTTATTTGTGGACACTGAAATTTAAATTCAATATAATTTTCATATGTCATGAAACATTCTTCTTTTGACTTTTATTTGTTGGAGCTTTTCAAAGCCCTTAGGGTCGTCTGTATCCCTAGCCTTTCCTCTCAAGCTTTTTATTAGTCTGTTTATTAGCCTGAGGCAGCAGCAGCCTAAGATATTAGCCTATAAGTGTTTTCAACAAATGCCCCCCAAGGAAGCAGCTTTGGCACTAGGCTTTTTCCAAGTTAGGTGAAATATAGACAAGGCTTTCGAGCCAGTCTTCCAGGGAACCGCCAGACAGATCAGAACAAATGAGATCTGTTCTGCTCCCTCTCCGCCAGGAATACGGGCTATTTTCATGGCTACCACTGAGTTCGGGAGTGTGAGATGGGCCTGGAGTAAGATAAAACAGTACAAAGTTCACTGTTCTCACCAAGAGTAAGCTGTAGCATTGAGTAAGCATTTTCAGGTTGCTGCAAGTCTTATTTTAATTTTGGTGTTCCAAAAAAAGTTAATTCTGACAGTTTTTGCTTATTTTTTTCGTGGCTTTTATGGAGGAACGGAATTTGGAGTTCTTTCTTCTGCCTTTTTTGCTTACGTCACTCTCATTCTTGCTTAAATTTAATCCAGTTTGGCAATCTGCCTTTCAGTTGGGGTGTTTGGACCATTTACATTTAATATGATTAATGATATTTTTTTTTTTTTTAAAGATTTTATTTATTTTTATTTTTTCCCCCCAAAGCCCCAGTAGATAGTTGTATGTCATAGCTGCACTTCCTTCTAGTTGCTGTATGTGGGACTCGGCCTCAGGATGGACGGAGAAGTGGTGCCTCGATGCGCACCCGGGATCCGAGAAGTGGTGCCTCGATGCGCACCCGGGATCCGAACCCGGGCCACCAGCATTGCAGCGCGCGCACTTAACCACCAAGCCACAGGGCCGGCCATGATTAATGATATTTTTGAGTTTAAATTTGCTATCTTTCTATTTGTTTCATCTGTTCTCATTTTGTTCTTTTTCTACCTTCTGTCTTGAGCACTTTTGGATTCCATTTTATTGACTTAATGGCTAGAATTCTGTATTGTGTTATTTTAGTGGTTCCTTTAAGGTTTGTAGTATACGTCTTTAACTTAGAGTCCACATAAAGTGATACAACACTTCATGTGTTCATAACTGCTAGTGTGCTGTTATTGTGATACATCTTCGATATATGTTAGAAATCCCAGAATACGTTATTATTTTGCTTTAAACGGTCTGTTATCTTTTAAAGAGACATAAATAGTAAGAAAGAAGAGTCTTCATCTTTGCCCATATGGTTACCATTTTGGTGTACATCATTCCTGTGTGTAGAAGGAGCTTTCCGTCTGTATTATTTTCTTTCTGCATGGAGGACTTGCTCATTTCTTCAACATGCATACCTTTAACATTTCTTATATTGCAAGTCTCTGGATGATGAATTCTTTCAGCTTTGATGTAACTAAAAGTCCTCTTTCACTTTTGCTTTTGAAAAACATAAGTCAAATTATGCTGTACAGTTTAAATTTATACAGTGCTTTGTGTCAATTATATCTCAATAAAACAGGAAAAAATATTCTTGAGCTTTGTTCTGGGACATGGTTGAGTTACTCAGAAACAATTTGATCCTTTTGGATTTTGCTTGAAGGTTTTTAAGCAGGACTAGAGTACCATTTTCTCTAGAGTTTATTTTTCCTACAACTGGTGTTGCCAGTGCTTTGTAAGCTCCAGATTTCTAGTCCTTTTAGGTGGTTCTTTGCCTAGCCTTGAGTGTTCTCATCACAAGCAAGTGGAGATCTTTACTCAGCTAATGCTCAAGGATGACCGTCTGCAGTTCTCCCGAGTTCTAGCTGTGCTCAGCTCTCTCTCTGCAGTATTCTGCTCTGCTAACTCGAGACGCCTGTGCCTCCCCTGACTCCCAGTTCCATCTTCTCAGAGTAGAGAGACTGCCAGGTGGCCGACTTTGCCTCCCTGGGCCTCAGCCTGGAGATCTCTCTAGGCCATGAGCTGGGATACTCACAGGGCTCACCACAGGTATCAGTCACCGTTGCCTGATATGTAAGATCTTGCGAGGCTTTATTTTTTATATTTTGTTTGGTTTTTTAGTGTTTCAGGCAAGAAGGTAAGTCTAGTATAGTACCTATTACCCTTTCTTGGCTAGAATATCTATTTAAAATAAAAGTTTTTAACAAATAATGTAAACTCATTACAGACATTAGGCATTTTGGAAATTGAAAAAGAAGTACAAATATGGAAATAAAAGTCACCGAGGATCACACCGCCTACCATCAGCTCTTGCTCATATGAGCATTAATTAACAGTCCTGTACAGTAACTAAATGCCAGTATAATCAGGGTAGAATGTTCAGGATTCATCCATAAGCTTGTGTTTGCTTTGCATATAGATGATAGTTAATTGTGTAAGAGAAAGTGATTTTGTCCAGAGCCCTGATATGTGGGAGAAGAGCACAGTACCTAGTCTGAAACCCTGTGTGGCCCCTCTAGTTATCTGGAGGTGGGTAGCTGAGTAACTGTCAGTGGAGATTAAAGAACATAGTCTGTAGAGATGTGTGTGTGTTTTAAATTATATCTTTTTATTATCAATAAACATATCAAGATACAAAAGATTTTTGGTGGGAATAGATTTAAACAGAAGTTTAAGTGTTAGTTAAAATGTTTCTGGTTATAATTATTAAAATCCCACAGAAATAAGCTCAAACACAAAAAGAAGGGGTGTTTATTATAAGAAATGGTGGTTATTTCACAGAACCCAAGGGCAGGGTTAACTTCAGGAGCAGTTGGTTCCATTGCTCTGAGGCTTCATTGTTTCTCCTCTTTGCTGTTATCTATAAGTCTTTTTGACTGCAGACTTTTTTTTCTCATCCTAAGTCTTATGACTTTCCAGGGTTTATGAAGCTTGGATATTTTGGATTCAGTTCTTTGGGAAGAAACAAACTGAATTCAGTTTGGGTCTGTTATCCAACTATGGCTATGAGACAAAGTTGCAGTTGACAAATGTGGCTGATCTTACTGTCATAGTGCAGGTGTCAGGGAAGAGGCAGCTGCCAGAAAAGAGGATGTGAAAATAAAATGATAGTCATTCAGCTGCACATTTTTCTGAGTTTATACTCAGATCTAAACATGAATCATTACTCCCCACTGTGTTGATAACTTTCTTAGAGATTCACTACTCTCTGGCTTGTATTAAAGTTCTCTATAAACATGTCCCGACCTTGAGGGAGCTTTTCTTTGTATATTCCAGCATATTTAATACAGTTTTTATGCTCAGTAACTTTTTGTTGAATGGGAAAGACTATTGAGGAATAAACAGTTATTCAGTTTTACCTTGTATTGAATGAAATATTATTAAGAGTATTATTGTTCTGACACCTTTTCTTCTTGTATTTTTAGTGGTATGCAATCTGCATAAGTGATGTTGGAGATTATGAAGGCATCAGGGCTAAAATTGCAAATGCCTACACTATCAAGGAGCATTTTGAGGTACTGATGAATTTAAAAAGTCATTAATTTTCTGAACAGATTTCTGTTTCACTTATCTATGCTATATATAGCAAACCACCTAAAACTTAGTGGCCCACGGCAGTGACCATTTCTCACAGTTCTGTGGGTTAACTTTGCACACTTGTGCTTCTGTTCTGCCAGGTGTGGCTGAGGTCATTTAGACAGCTGCATTCACCTGGACGCTCAGCTGGGAGGGGAATGTACCAGGTGCCCTCTCATCTATGTTGGTTTCTCTCCACTTTTCTTCTCATTGCTTAGTAGTCTAGCCCTAGCTTCTTCATAGCATGGTGGCTGACTTCTAAGAGTGAGCGTTCCAAGGGAAAAGTTGCAGCTTGCAAACTTGTATGAAGCCTCTGCTTGCATCACACTTGGTAGTGTCCTGTCTGTCGACATGAATAAGTCATGTGGTGGCCAAGACCTGAGTCTGGGAGGGACTAGTCAAGGTTCTGAATACTGGGAGGTGTGGTCTAATCTAACCCTCTAACACAATTGACTTATCACTCCCAATAGTCGTAGTACTATTTATGGTTGTGATCTCTGTGTGTGGGTTATGTGTGTGCATGTTTTAATATCTCCCCTGAAGTTAATTTATTTATGGTAAGCTCTCCCTTAGGCGCCGGAACTTGTCCAGGCATTTGTGTATTTCATGACGTGCATGACACTGCTCTTGTCCTCAGGAAAAACAAAACACTGCCACTAAAAACCCAGGGTATTGCTTTCTCTTTTGATATTGTAAACCAGCTCAAAAATACAGAGAATGAGAAAGAGATGAAAACATATGTAGAGATAATGTTAAATAAGCTATCTAATAGCTTTTCTGAATTTTATGGCTATAGTCTCAGTTCCTAGTCTGTATAATGACTAGTGGGAAAGAACATCGGACTGGGAGTCAGGAGACCTCGCTTCTTATTCAGGCATCAATGGTGTGTACATGTGTGTGTACACATACACTTACATACTATCTATATATGTATTTCAGTTTATTAACATACAACATTTTCCACACTTTAAGACCTTTGAAATCAGATTGCATTATATAATCAGTGGTATCTTATAATTGGCAGGTTTGTTTTTCTTAGTGTACAGAAAATAAAGATGTGTCATAACTTGTATGGTATCTTAGATTCAGTGAAATATAGTAATTTGCTTAGTGGTATTAGATAAATCACCTAAATTACTCTGTGCCTTGGGATTGTAGAAATACATGATGAATAACTTCCAATGTGAATAATGAAAAAGTGCAGAAAATGTATTAATGTATACTTTAAACTTAAAGAAACAGTGAAGGCTATGGATTATTTTTAAAAAAGCAATGTTTTGTATAAGTTTTCAAATGTGTTTGTGTTAAGTGTATTTAAAAAATGACAGTGTTTAGTATTTAAATACTAAAAAGATCATTTATAGTACTTCTGTTTCAAATTCCATTATTACATCTAATAAAAAGCTTTTATAAGGAATATGGAATTATCATCTTTGGATTGTTTTTGAAGACACTTAAACTAATGGCAAGGAGAATTCTAAAAGAAAGGATTTACTTGAGAGTAACCCCCCTCAACCCATCCCATAAGAAAATTAAACTCTAATGCCCCAAGGCATCCATTGTAGGCGATGAATTAACTTCTCTCCCTTGCATTTAGAATGGTACTAGCTCTGTACCATTCTTGGTAGAATGGAGAAAATAGTTACTCATAGAATTTTTTTTGTAGAGCTTAATTTTCTAGTGGAACTCCAGTTGGGAAAGACTGCCTAGAGTATAAGTTGTATATACTTTAAATGATATCTGTATTTACAGAAAAGTAAAAATTAGGTCAGTGCTGATTCTTACCCATATTATTGAAGCAAGATTTCTGCCAAGTCAGCTTGGTTAGCCTTATTCTAGCTGTTACCTCTACAACTACTAACATTAATCCATGTTAGTAATAAATTAAGTGCCTGGTACTTAGGAAAAGTAAAAATAATAATGATGCTGGTGACAGAAGATAGTACTGTGGTAAGCCCCTCCTGTCACTTGCTTGTTTAATTTTCACCAGAACTCTCTGAGGTAGGTATATGACTTTCTCGATTCTATAAAAGAGCAGACTCAGGCACGGCAAGAACATAGAACTCGCCAAGGTCAGAAAATTAGAGGTTACTGAGTTTTGGTTTGAATCCTGGTGGTCTGGCTCCAGAGCCCACGCTGATAACCAATACAAATATTGGACAATATGTGTCTCACACGTTACCAATTGACAGTGAAGATGTGGTTTTACAGAACAGCATAAGCTAGGAAGTCTCGATTTTTTAAACAGGGTCTTTTATTTCTCATAGGATTGACATTAATCTGTGAGGTTTCCTTAGTGATTTTCAACAAAATAATGGATAAAAGGAGGAGTCATTTCTTTAAAGTTACTCTGTGATTTATGCTTTACCTTAATTCACTAGGACTTGCACATGGTGACTAGAAATCAGGAAGACTTTATCAACACATTTTACACTGTATATAATTATTCCATTAATAAAATCTTTGAACAAATAGTATTTATTATTCCTTTATGTATAGATGGGGAAGTGGAACAAAATCTGCATACAGGAAGAGACTTTCTAAAATTATGATGTACTTTGTTCTTCTTTTAGGAAAGAATACTTTTTATTCAGTATTCATAGAGGACTTGCCAAAAGAACTTCCTACTCATTTTTCCTTTAATCTAGAAGAAAGAAACATTGAGAGCTATAGATTGTTGTTGTTTTCAAAATTAGATTCATTTACAAACTTCATGTTTTTTCTCATGTTGATAAACCCTGCTGTCAGTTTTGGAACCTTATAAAATAGTAACCTTAGTACAAGTCATTAATAGTGTATTGAAACAAATTTAACCAATTAAAGAATTAGGAAGAAGAAAGTTGATGTTGATTATCATAGAAAAATTGAAATGGGGGTGTCGTAAATTTTTTTTTTCTAATCATAGCTTCTTCAGCAAACATAGTAAAGTACTTACTGGTCTATAGAAAACAAATATGATTGATTTTCTCATTTCTCGTTAGAAAGCAATTGAACTGAACCCTAAAGATGCTACCTCAATTCACCTCATGGGTATTTGGTAAGTAAATTTCTTTAAATAAATATTTCTGTGATATTTAGTATGATCTTATCTTATAGTATGTATACATATCTTGTTTTGTAGTATATAAGAAAGCAAGATGTAAAATATTTTAAAATATTGTTTGGGGGCCGGCCCCGTGGCTTAGCGGTTAAGTGCGTACACTCCGCTGCTGGCGGCCCGGGTTCAGATCCTGGGCGCGCACTGATGCACCGCTTCTCCGGCCATGCTGAGGCCGCGTCCCACATACAGCAACTAGAAGGATGTGCAGCTATGACACACAACTATCTACTGGGGCTTTGGGGGGAAAAATAAATAAATAAATAAAATTAAAAAAAAAATAAAATAAAATAAAATATTGTTTGGTAATCAAGAGTGTTTAATCCATTATATTAATCAGCAGTTGTGCATGTATTGTTAGAAAATACTAAATTTGATTGTGATCCTATTATACATTGTTATTCAGATCATTTAGAAACATGAACTAAGGCTAAAAAAGCATTAAAACTTTCTGTTAGACTTTTAAATTCCGTTTGTTGGGAAAGACTAGTCTTATTTACTGGGCTAAATGAAACTGGATTTATCTAACTCTAGTAATACAGTAGGATGCCCTAAGAGGGTCTTGATGTCTTCAAAGTTTGTCAAATCCAGTCTGATTCACCTGAGGAACAATGTAATCTGACTTATATCAGTGTCTTTCCATTTTTTGTCCAACGTACATCACTATTTTGCTGGTCTGAGCGTACACCAGTGTGTTAATGCTTGCTGGTTTAAGATTTTCCCCTGAGACAGGTTCGCCATTGTTTTCTTTAGGTGTAATCTGCAGAGCTGATTATTTGTGGTCCTCTAAGGGAGTAACGATGTAAACAGTCTTGTATTCCTTCAGGATAAAGGACATATTAAACTAACAGAACACTTACTGAGGATGAACAGTAATTGAGGGGCAGTCCCTAAGTCAGATGCTAGTGAGCAAACATGAGTGAGACAGAGTCTCCGCCTCAGGGAGTTCACACCCCAGTCAAAGATCCAACACTTTTTGTCCCACTTATTTTGGAAAGTCGTCAGCATCTTCGGATGTTAATCATTTGCCACATCCGTTTAAATATATAGACTTAAATTGTTGATTGCCATTATTTACGTATATCATGTTTACTTTTGTCATTTTTTTTTAACTTCTCTAAGTTAGTTTTTCTCATGTAAAAAGTAGGGGTAACGATCCTGTCTCAGTGAGTTGTTGTAAGGAGTGATAAGAGAGAGGATCCTTAGCTCAGCACCTGCAGCCAGCACTCAGTGGTGAAGGAGACATGGTCACGTGCCATGTCATGACGCTGGTGTCCCGAGAGACCGCGTAGACAGCAGTGGTCCCGTAGATCAGTGCCACACAGCCTAGGTGTGTGGTGGGCTGTACCCCTAGCTTTGTGTAGGTGCACTCGGTGACATTCACACGACGATGACATCGCCCAACGACACATTTCTCAGAACGTGTCCCCGTCATTAGGCCACGCATGACTGTGTTGTATTATTACTAGTACTCTTGCTTCCTATTTATATTTAATCACAAAATACACCCTAATTGATGGATCAATATGTCAGTCTCTAAATAATTCAGTATGAGTATTAACCTACTGGATATTATGTAAAGTACAAATTGTTTAAATGTACAACAGGAGAAGATTTCTTTTGTATCTGTTAAGATGCTAGTTCTCTTTAAAAGAAAAAAGAAGGTGCAATTCGAATGTATACGTGTTATTTTATTTCCCTGTAGGTGTTACACATTTGCTGAAATGCCTTGGTATCAAAGAAGAATTGCTAGAATGCTGTTTGCGACCCCTCCCAGTTCCACCTACGAGGAGGTAGTGTGAGGTCTCTGTTAAGTTAGTGCTAATTTCCTAGCCGCAGGGCTGTTCTCCAGTCCCCACGTCGGGAGCTCTGGTCACTGAGGGACCTGAGCACGTGTCTAATGATCCAGGGCGACTGTCTCGTCACAGAGACTTAATCTTGTGTCCATGATTGGGGAGTGGCTTTTTTCTTTAGGTGAGTGGCTGCTAATTCTGCTGTATTGTCAGCTAAAATAGGCCCTGGCTAAAATCTACCTTCATTTTCTATTTGAAATCTATACCATATAAAAGTCATAAAATAGAACAAGAAATATAGCAACTGTTACTCAGCATGTTTAAGGTACACATTCGGCACATTACAGTCATTTACCTGGAAAATGAAGCACATTTCTATTGATAAAGGAAGTAGTAATTATAACTTTTTTTTAAACAGTAGGTTTGAAAGGCTCATATTCTCTCATATTTTCAAGGCCTTTTGCCTTTCCTGTTAAAAATAAAATTTGAAAGGATTTCTGGGCAAATATTTTGCGTTTACTCCTCACAGAATTTTCAGAGTAAGGAAATAGGCAATTGAGAAAGCTTTCCCACTTGTATCATAACAAGGAGCTATTTTTTTTCTGGGAAGCTATAGTGTAGAATTTGATGTAAAGAATATTTAGTTGTATAATTACAACACAGTTGGGAAATATTTATTCTTATTAAAAAGAATGCATTCTAAGAAAAAAGATACAGTCAGTTCTACTATAACAAATTAGTTATGTTTCTAAGAAATTGTCAATTAATGCATTATAAAAAGTTTAAGTGGGACAAAAAGAATTAGCAGAGTTTCAGACTCACAGTAACATTTTATGTAGGAATTTCCATAATAAAGAACTTTTAAAAATTCACTGGTACAACCAATGTATCACTGAGTAAATTCGGCTTTTGATTTATCTAGTTTTTACTGGTAGTCACTGTTATGCTTTAAGAAGAGAAAGAGCGAAATAGCTGAGTTGCACATGGTAATGTTCTTTTCTCTCTGTACACGATGCTGGTTTGCTACAGGTTCTAAACAGCAGTCAGGTTATTACTGGAAGTGGTCCACATGTTGCAGTCTGCTCTGATGATCTGACAGCGCTGGGTTCAATTTTGTTAACTCGTAGTGCTGATGAATTGACCATTATTTTAAGATGGTGTAATTTACTTCCTGACTTATATTTAAGATAGGAGTAGATCTTTTGAGAAAATGCTTTTTTAATATTGATTCTGTTGTAATCCTTTTCATTATGTTTGGGCTCTTTGTGTTTTTAACAGGCCTTAGGCTACTTTCACAGGGCAGAGCAAGGTAACATTTTTTATTTCAGATACTAATATGGTTAAAATTGTACGAATGCTTTATATGTAATAGGAATTTTTAAAACAAAAATAAGTTATCTGTTCTGGTATACTTAACTTCTTTGTGCACTAGACATTATCAAACCATTTTTATTCAGTCAAGGTCACCAGAGTAAGAAATAGACTGCTGCTGAATTTAGAACTGTGGTTCTGGAGTGGTCCGTCATTTGATGTAACTCAGCCTTCTCCCTCCTTTTTTTTGTGGGGAAGATTAGTGCTGAGCTAATGTCTGTTGCCAATCCTTCCCTTTTTTGCTGAGGAAGACTGGTGCTGGGCTAACATCTGTGCCCATCTTACTCTGCCTTATATGGGACACCGCCACAGCATGGCTTGACGAGCAGTGTGTAGGTCTGCACCTGGCATCCGAACCTGCGAACCCCGGGCTGCTGAAGCAGAGCACCCCAACTTAACCACTATGCCACCGGGCTGGCCCCATCATCCTTCCCTTTTTGAGAGGAGGCTTTGACAGGTTAACTGTCTTATGTCAAGATTACACAGCTAATTAGAAGCATTTATGTTTTTTCATGTTTAATTTTTTAAAAAATTTTACTTTTTTATTGAGGTATAATTGACATAACATTAGTTTCAGGTGTACAACATGATGATTCAGTATTTATCTACATTCTGAAATGTTCATCACAGTAGGTCCAGTTAACACCTGTCACCTTACATAGTTATAAAAACTTAAAAAAAAATTTTTTTTTCAAAGATCTGCTCTCTTAACAACTTTCCAGTAGCATTTGACTATTCAAATAGCATTGACATGAGAACTCTGGTTTTAAACCAGGCCAGTTTTGTTCTGTTGCAGATATTGTCTGCTTTTGTGGAGAAGAGTGTCATGTCAGTCTTGCTTTGAAGAAATGGCCAGCCTACAGAACTGAGACCAGCCCGTTCTAGGTTCATCCTTTTTCATATTAATAGCACAGACCAGAGAAGGGACATAAGCATGTTACCAAATACACCAAAAAAGCATTGCCTGTATTTCTATAAAACTTAATCGGAAGAAAAAGACAGTGTTTATTGAATTTGAGAGCCTACTCATATGGACTTGTCCAAATGCTCTCATGATAGCAAAGCATTTTTTAAAAAACATTTCTTCTAAAGAATTGTGTCTAATGTTAAATGTCTCAGTAATACATTAATTCTGGTTTACTCTGTTGCTGCCTTCCATTATCCTCTCATCCTGGTGGTATTACATATCATGAACGTGACCGTGGGAGTGAAGTGTCCTCAAAGGGATTTGGAAGTGGAATTACAAAGTAAAAACAGGGCCTTAGAGACTCAAGGGTTCAGGTGTTGAGAAAAACATGGTCCTTCTCTCACAGAGCTAAAATCCTCAGTAACTCTACTCATCCTCCAGGTTTTACCTTAAAGGTCACTTCCTCTAGGAGGCCTTTTCTTACGGCCCATATCTGGTTTAAGAGCTCCCTCTATGCTCTTAGTACCTTGTACTTTTCCCAGCATGGCCCTCATGACTCTATAGTATGAATGTTTACATGGCTTAGACTAAATTCAGAGGAGATGGAGATGCCTGTCTCTGTTCACAGTTGCATCCTCATTGCTTAGTACAATGCTTGGCTAATTCGCTGAATGACTGAGTAAATACATGAATGAATGAATTTACTTAACCCCAGGGAACCCTTAAGTACATTAGCTTGCCATCTCACAAATATATTCAAATTAAAGAAGTAAAACAATTTTGATTTAAGGAAAAGATGGAGTTAATCATAAATTATATCCAGGAAAAAGTATGCTTTGGATATAGAGGGTCCCAGATTGACAGGAGGAAACTGTGTGAACAATTAATGAAGTTGGTGAGACAGTCCCGTGCTTTCATTCATAGGCTTTCTGTTCACGTTTCCCCTCAGCCAAGAATGTTCTCCAGCTTTTCTGTTCAAGTCCTACTCAGCCTCCAGTCAGCCCAGGTGTAACCTCTTAGAGTTAGTGGCCTTTTTCCTTTGGTTTCTCATAGCACTTTAAAGTGTGTATACCTATCATTCCTTTCACTCTTACATTACATTTGGTTGTGCTCATGTTTGTCTCTCCTTTTCATTATAAATTCCAAAAGAGCAAAGACTTTGTTTCATCTCTGCTTAAGGATAGCCCACATTCAGTAAATGTAGATCAGATGTACACGTGTACGTGTGTCACCATGATTTCATTCACTCATTCGGCGAATGTATGTTGAGTGCGTAGGATACAGCAGGGAACAAAAGAGATTACAGAAAGAAAACCCTTGCCCTTATGGAGCTCTATCCTATCAGGAGCCTTCATTTCCCATCTAGTAAATGGAGTGCCTGTTCTAGAAAATGGTTGCAAAACTGAGAAATGTGTCATATAGTGCCTAGCACGTAGTAGACACTCAATAAATCGTAATTATTTTAGGTTTTTTGAGATCTGAATAATTGAACAAAAGAGAATTCAGTTAGCCAAATCATTTATTAACCAAATTTATTACTGAAATCTATATCAGAAAAATTAAGCCTTTAAAAATAAGAGCGATACTCTTTTGCCTGAGACAAATTTGTTTTTTTTTCTTATGTACAGTGGATCCAAACTTCTACAGCAAAAACTTGCTTCTTTTAGGAAAGACATATCTGAAGCTACACAACAGAAAGCTGGCTGCTTTCTGGCTGATGAAAGCCAGGGACCACCCAGCACACACAGAGGAGGATAAACAGGTAAAACGTCTCCAATAAGGTAAGGCAGATAGGTTTCTACTGAGGCACTATTAAATAAAGGTGAATTAAGAACTTCTTTAAAAATGTAATTGTCTAAATGCCTACTGGTAAAAACAAGAGTGTTCATTTTAAATGTGAATTCAGTGACATTTACATTATAATTTCTGCATAGCAAGTGTTTAGTTACTATCAACAAATAGTTTATGAATTACTTGCTGCGATACAGAATTATTCCTGTTTGACATAGATAGCAGACCAAGTAAGATTTCTAAAACAAAAAGACAAGGGATGTGCACTAATACGGAAGAGTTCTCTGAGTCTCATCAGTCACTGTTAAGAAATTTTATTCTTCTAATGTGCTGTCTTGGTTTTTGGATAGTCCACTGTATGAACTTAAATTTCACAAGTTGATCCTTATGCTGTACTGTTTATTTATAACGTGTGTTTTTCCATTTTAGATACAGACAGAAGCTGCTCAGTTGCTTACAGGTTTCAGCGACAAGAATTGAGAATTTTTCAAGGAAAGCAGATGAAATATCTAAGAAACATTGCCTTTTCATCAAATTATAAAGATAATACATTGACCATAACTATTCTATGGCTGTTTTCTCAGTTCTTTTAAGGTTGTGACCATTTAATAAATTAAACATACAAAATTCTAAGTTTCTTCACAAACAACAAGGCAAAAACAATTGCCGTTAAGAGTGAGAGAGATACCTCCATGGCTCAGAGGCAAAGATTACTGTACGTCTGGGGCAGCAGCAACACGAACTGGTATGAGATTTCTAACGAGGACTGATCACATCAGGATGGGAGGACATCAAGAAAAGGAAGCTTTGTGGGAGAGGTAGCATGTGGGGGAGTGCGTTTTCAACTTGGATTGAGTCAAAGCTGAGGTCTTGCAGAGAAGGTGCAGTGAAAGTTAGGAGGTTAGGATGCTGAGGGTCCCTGGTATAAATCAGTTAAGTGATGTATCTCGGAGCCAGCCTGTGTGAGGAAAGAAAAGTCAGGAGTGGACTGAAAACAGGGTGGTTTCCTTTTTAAAATGTGATGCGGTCTCACAAGTGGATTGATTTTTGTCACTAGACAGAGCCCAAATTCTATTCCCTAAAGGGGTGGAAGGAACACAGAACTCAAGGGTGAAATGGAAATTAAGATGTTTTAAGTAGGCAGGACAATGCTACTTACTTGAGGCTGGGGTACCACCCCTGCAGAATCTTGAGTTTTGTAAAAGAGTATTTTGAATGCCACTTAGATAAACCTGAGAGTATATGTTTAGGTGGATTTTTCCCAAAGGACCTGGGAATTGTAATGTTACAGTGAACTGTGTGGGTATGTGCTGTTTCTGTTTTATCATGTATATTTTAAAACAAAAAAGAAAACTGAAAATACTGGACCTCTGTATACCCATCTCTGATTCAACAATTGCTAATCTTTTGCTAAGATTACACACATTTTTACTTAAATGTGTGTATATATTTTTATTTACTTCTAAACCTTTGAAATTGCAGACAGCATACTTCATCCCTAAGTATTTCAGCATGCATTGTCTCAGAATAAGGGACATCTTTCTAAACAAACACAAATCCATTACCACAACTAGGAAGTTAACAGTAATTCTTGATCATCATCTAATATCCAGCCATATTCAAATTTCCTCAAATGTCCCCAAATGTCTTACACTTTTAAAACCAGGATCCATTCAAAGATCATACATTGCATTTGATTTTCCGCCTTAGTTTTTTAAAATTTAGAACAGTTTCCTCATCTTTTTTCTCACAGTGTTGACTTTTTGAAGAGACCGGTCTAGTCCTCTTACAGATTATCCCACATTTCCAGCTCAGCCGTGTTGACCACACTTGGAGAACCACCGTTCCATCTTATTTTCAGGGACTCCAATTTATTACATGTATATTGGATCTTTGGCTAACTTTTATATTTATCACTTTCTAAGTTTTCTATTTACCTCTTTCAGTTTCATTTTCTTGGCTCTCTTCATTTCTCCCTTATTTTATTTTTGATTGTATGTTTTCTTCCTTAGATACTTCTTGTCTTCACTTCTCAGATGTTTTTTTTCTTCCACGTTTTTCCTGATTTCAGTCAGCAGTCATTTCACATCTTCATGTTGTTTGTCCACTTCTGAGTTTTTGAATTTCTAATCTGGATTTTTTTCATATTTGCAATTTATATTTAATTCATATTAGTATATTTTGTTAAAGAATTTTACTCAGTTTTTTTCTGTTTTAAGCATTTTCATCAGAAATATTTCTGTTTTCAATTTTCTCTTTAGAGTGACTTTTAATGTCTTTTCTGGAGATGCCATTTGTGTGTGTGTGTTGAGTGCCAGCAGGGTAATCAAATGGGACGTGAGGGGTTTGGGTTTTAGTTCAAAAATACCTTCTGCTGAGTAGTTTTTGTGAAATGAGGTATTTTTCAGTAATAAAACCTATTTTATGGAGGGGAGAGTCGGTCTTCTGTTACTTTATAGAGCTTTTTAAAAAAATTTTTACTTTAAAATAATTATAGATTCATAGGAAGTTGCAAAAAAAAAATAGTACAGAGAGGTCCTTCCCCAGTTGCCCCAATGGTAACACAGAACACTATCAAAACCAGGAAATGGGTACAGGCCACAGGTCTTATTCAGATTTTATCACTTAAAATGCTCTCACGGTTATTCTATGGTTTTATCACACGTATCGATTTTTGTAACTGCCGCCATAATCAAGATACAGAACTGTTCCAGCATCACTGACATGCCTAGCGCTACCCTTTATAGTCACAGCCATCCACCTCCCCTCCCTGCCACCATCCCCAAGCCTGGCCACCACTAATCTGTGCTAATTTTGTAATTTCAAGAATGTTATATAAAGGGAATCATACACTATGTGACCTTTTGAGATTGGCTTTTTTCATTCTGCATAATTCTTTGAGATCTTTTTATTGTTGACTATATTTCATTGTATGGTGGTACCAGTTTATTTAATCCTCCACTGAAGGGCATTTAGGCTGTTTCCAGTCTTTGGCTGCTACGAACATCAGGCGCAGGTTATAGCAACATCAATTTTCATTTCTGTGGGTTAACGGCCTAGGAGTGCAGTTGCTGGGTCTGTTAGAGAGCTGTTATCTTCCTTTTTCCCTGTTTACTAAGGGATGGCTCCCTTCTCCATGATGTGGTACCTCCCCAAAATTGTGATTCTGTGCACTTTCTCAGTTTCTTCCTTTTGACTTCTCAAGAGTCTGACTCAGTAGGTCTCACATGGTTCTTGGCATTTCTCCACTCAGGGTGAGACCTGACTTCTGGGAATGAACCCTAGGGACCCCATTATATTCTTTCCTGTGCATTCCACACTTGACTCTGCTCTTGTGTGTTCCAGAGCTAGTTTGAGATGCTTATATCCCCACATGTGTCAACAGAATTTTGTAGTATTCTGTCTTCTAAACGTATCACAGACGTGGGCTGTGGGGGATTATAATTACCTCTTCTGTGGATATATTTCCTTCCTTCTTTTGAGGATATGAGAAGAAATCTGAATTTGGAAAGTGGCTGTTATCCTATGAGAATCTGAAAGTTCTCAATTTCTTGTTGGCAAAATTTCCCACTGAGTGTTTAATCATAGACTGGACTAGCTGTGGACTTGGTAAAAATGACTTCACTCAGACTCACTTTCCTTATCTATAAAATAAGCATCATTACAACAAAGGAAAAAGCAAAAAAACACCTACCTAATCGAGTTGTGAGGATTAAACAGAACATGTAAAGTATTTAGCATGAGTATCAGTAACTATTATCATCTGATTGCATTTTCCTTGGTTGAGATTGGGAGAGAAAATTTGGAATTTAGGAAATACCACTTTTGCATTTGTAAGTAAGTTTTTGTTGTTGGCACATTATTTTGGGGGTATTCTTTGCTTTCATGTGGTGTTCACTATACAGCCTCTCTTGGACTGTGTGCCTGGGCGTTACTGGGAAGAAAAACCTAGGAGGAGGGCTTGAGTACTTCGGCAGGGGCCACGTGCAGTTAATTTAATGCACATCCTGTCCTGACCCATTGCACCGCCCTCTGAAAGCCATGAACTGTGCTTCTGCCTTGTGACTGAAGAGTATATGCTAGGAAGAAGGGAAACACATCAAGGTAGAAAGCTGCTGTGATCCAGGCAGGGCTTTTCCCTTGAGACAGACATAATCCCCAGTTGAACTCAAATTCGGTTTTTAAATTCAGTGGATTAAGAAAACGGGGGGGGGGGGGGGGATGTTATAAGAGAACCTGTATTATTTTCTCATCCGCATATTTCAACAAGAGAAGGTTTTGTTTGAATTCTGCAGTGTCTACCAGGGGATCTTAGGTTCAACCCAACATTCAGACTCAGAAAGCCTGTGATTGATAGGCTCCACTTGGCTTCAGCTCACTCAGAAGGCTACAGGACAGGACACACAGCTGGCCAGGCCAGCGTGGGGCCTCCTCACATTTGGAGGTGACCTTACAGGAGCAGCTGCTGTAGCAGAGCGTCCACATGGCTGCAAGAACCATCGTCTCCCGAGGTGAAAGCTCGGGGACCTCATGGGGACGTACAGTTACGAGATTCCACACTCGGGGAAGTCAAAGCTATGGTTTCCTAGCAATCAAGTGTCTGGAGTTGGCCCAGTCCAGAGGCAGCTTACCAGTCAGGGGTCCTTTCTAACAGAAGCAATATTGCCTGATACTGTTGTTAACACACAGCACCCTATCCAGTTTTGAGGATAAGAGCCAGGTGGTTAACACAAGGCTGAAGGGTAACAGATTTTGTTAATCCTTTCAGCTTGAACCTCCTAGAAGTAGGAAAAACAAAACCGAAAGTCCACTTGTAGCTTCTTTCCCCAGCAGACACTAGCCTGCCTGAGGGACTTTGCTGTGCCTGTGATCCACTCCCGGGGCTCAGTTTATGGGTGGTGGGGATGGGGAGTGTCTGAGCCACCTGTTTCCTCCTGACTGACTGTTCAGGCATGGTGAGCTGTGCACTTCTGATTTCTCTGTGCCCAGCACAGGGCAGGACAGGGATGGGGAAGGAGGAGAGGAGGAGAGAGGTGCGCCGCATTCCTCAGGTTTCTCTCACTGCCATCGAGTGGATCAATCAAGACACTAAACCCAAGGGCCGGCCCTGTGGCTTGGTGGTTAAGTGCGCGCGCTGCAATGCTGGCGGCCCGGGTTCGGATCCCGGGTGCGCATCGAGGCACCACTTCTCCGTCCATTCTGAGGCCGAGTCCCACATACAGCAACTAGAAGGATGTGCAGCTATGACATACAACTATCTGCTGGGGCTTTGGGGGGAAAAAATAAAATAAATAAAATCTTTAAAAAAAAAAAAAAAGACACTAAACCCTGCCTAGAGGCCTGGGTTCTACAGTTGGGTATGAAGGGTGGAAGGCCCTGACACGATCTCCACACCAGCCTTCTCCAGAAAGCTGGTTTGGTCTCTGCAGCCTCTGGGTAGCCTCATCTGTGCACAGACACTTCTCACCTGAGGTGAGGAGGGAGGACGGCACCCCCAAAGCCATCTGTCTTCAGTCAGGTCTGCCAGGTGGTGGTCTCCCTCACCTCCACCAATGATGCTCAGTA